TTTGCGTATACCTGAACTAGAAAAAAAGAGAACATTGGGACCAGTAGTTGGCATAATGGCCATGTTGCTGGATTCCCATGTAGTCGACTGTGGTTCAAGTCCCTGACCTAGTGGCTTAAAGTCATGCCAGGTGCATGTGCATGCGTGCTCAAGATCCCTAGAGGAGAAAGGAGGAGAAGGGATTGCCATGTGGCCATCCCCCCAGGGGGTGATTTCTCGCTTTGTTTCTCTATGTCTCTCTCTGTCTTTCTGGCAAGCACACGTGTCCTATAGCAAAAACCTCACAAAAAAAAAAAAAAAAAAGAAAAGAAAAGAAAAAATAGAACATGAAGTCTAATGGAGAAGAAAAATATCACAACAAAATTCTGTGAAATTTGGAAAACAAAATGAATAAAGAAAAGCTATGGTTCTTTGATAAAATCTGTAAAAGTAATTAATCTTTAGTCAGATTGGTCATAAAAATACTAATTCTCAATATGAGAAATTACAGAGATGACATCACTACAGATTCTATAGATAATAAAAGAAAAATAAGAAAATAGTATAAACTTTATGCTAATAAATTAAATAACTCAGATTAAATGGATGGGCAAATTTCTTTTTTTTTTTATAGCCAGAGGGTGCATGCACTCATCAGAGAGAGACAGAGAAATGGAAAGAGAGAGAAAAAAGTACCCTCTATTGGAGTGTGGTCACACTGCAATCCCTTCTCTATTTCTCCAAAGTATAATACAGTAATTCTGGTCATTCTAATTTTTTTAAAAAGTGGCTATATTATTATTATTGGACAAAATAGATATCAGCTCAAAAATATTTATAAGGATGAAGATGTTCACCACATAATATGAGAAGGGTTAATTCATCCAGAAAATACAGCAGTACTAAACATTTATAAATCTATTAGGTCATCAGAAAAGTCATGACACATTTCTTTCAATGTTTTTCTATGCAAAAATGCATCATGACTTTTCAAATAACACAATAGAAACACATGCATCTGTGCTCCAAGTGTATTTAAGTTGTCAGGGCCAGGATGCAAACCACAGTTGGCCACGTGGAATCCAGCTCCCTTTACCAACAGGCTATGGGGTTGGCCTACATATTTCTTGAAAGATGCAAATTACCAAAACTCTTGGAAGAAGCTGGTACTCAGAATACTCTTGTACTTATTTTTAAAAATGAATTCATAACTAAAAATCTTCTCACAAAGAAAATTCCTGCCCACATTGCTTCACTAGAGAATTCTCACAAAATTTAAGAAATTACAATTCTATAGACACTCTTACAGAAAATTCCAGAGGAGGGATTCTTCACATCTTAATCTATAAAGTCAGCTTTACCCTGATACTAAAACTAGATGAAGATGTTAAGAAAACTCTACACCAATATCTCTAATGAACAAAAATGTATAACAAATTTTCTTTTTATTTTTTAGTTACTTCTTTTATTTATTTTTTTATTTACGTTCATTCACTGTGCATCATTGCAGCATACAAAATGAGATTTTCCATCCAGAGTACACTGTATATTGTCTCAATCAGGCATATCAACATACATGTTATTGTCAACAAATAATTTTCCATTTCTTGTTTCCTGTATGTTTTGCTTTTTTTTCCCCATGCTTGATTCCCTCAAATTTTATTTTTATTTTAACAAATAAAATCAGGGACCAGCAGTTAGTGTAATGGCTATGTTGCTGGACTCCCACGTAGTTGACCACGGTTCATGTCCTGGACCCGGCGGCTTCAACTCACGTCGGGCACGTGTGCATTTGTGCCCAAGATCCCAAGAGGAGAATGGAGGAGAAGGGATTGCGGCATAGCCATCCCCCCTGAGGGGTGATTTCTCACTTTCTGTCTCTTTGTCTCTCTCTTTTTCTGGTGAGCGCACATGCCCTATAGCAAAAAACTCTCCAAAAAAAAAAAAAACAACAACAACAAATAAATTTTAAAAATCAAATAAAATCAAATAATATGTAAAAAGGATAATATATCACAAAATTATGGTTTATGCCAGACAAAAATCAATGTTGTTAAGTAATTTTGGTTTAGTATTTGACTGTCAATCAACTTAATTTATCTTACTAATATCCTGGAAAGGAGAAGACATAGTATCATTTCAATAGTAGCAGGAAAAGCATTTGACAAAATCCAACGTACATTTCTGCTAAGACTCTCAGCAAAATAGGAGTAGAAGAGAGCTTTCTTAACTTGATAAAAGGAACTTATACAAACCTACAGTAGACATCACACTTAATGATGAGAGACTAAATGCTTCCCTCTAAACCTCAGGAAAAATACAAGGCTATCGGAAGTTATAATATCCATTTAAGATGGTACTGAAGGGTCTAGCTGGTGAAATAAAATGAAAAAAATAAATAAAAGATTTCGAGACTGAACAGGAAAAAGTAAAAGTCTATTGTCAACAACATAATTGTGAAAGATAAAAGTCTCATGAAACCTAACATTGCTAGACCTAATGACAAATTAATCAATGTCTTAGTCCATTCAGGCTGCTGCAACAAAATACCATAAACTAGGTGGCTTATAAACAATAAAAATGTATTTCTCACAGATCAGGAGGCTGGAAAGTCCAAGATCAAGAAACCAGCAGATGTTGTATCTATCAATTAAGTATCTATCTCATTCATAGATGGTGCCATCTTGCTGTGTCCCTCACATGTTGAAAGGGGCATTCAGACTCCTGGAATTTCTTGTATATAGGCACTAATTCTATCTATGAAGTCATGACGTAATCACCTCCCAAGGTCTCATCTGCTAATAGCATCACCTTAGGGGTTAGGATTTCAAAATATATTTACTGGGATGACACAAACATTCAGGCCACAGTATCAAGATAGCAGAAAACGGGAACCAGCAGTTAGCATAATGGCTAGGTCCCTGGGCTCCCACGTAGTCGACCGCGGTTCGTGTCCCGGACCCGGTGGCTTAAAACTCACGCCGGGCGCGTGTGCGTGCGTGCCCAAGATCCCGAGAGGAGAATGGAGGAGAAGGGATTGCGGCATGACCATCCCCCCTGGGGGGGTGATTTCTCGCTTTCTGTCTCTATGTCTCTCTCTGTCTGTCTGGCGAGCGCACGCGACCTACAGTGAAAATCTCTCCAAAAAAGAAAAAAAAAAGAAAAAGAAAAGATAGCAGAAAACAAAATTAGAAGGGTTTTGTGTTTCTATATACTGATAAAAAAAATGGAAGTTATTAGTTTTTTTTTAGAGAGAGAGATTTTTGCTATAGGGTGTGTGCGCTTGCCAGAGAGACAGAAAGCAAGAAATCACCACCAGTGGGGATTGTCATGCCGAAATCCCATCTCCTCCATTCTTCTCTCGGGATTTGGGGCACGCACACACACAAGTCGTGTGAGTTTCAGGCTGCTGGGTCTGGAACTCAAACCACAGTCAGCCGTGTGGGAGTCCAGCAACAGTCCAACCATTATGCCATCTGCTGGTTCCTAAAATTTTAAAAAACATGATAATATAAGATTTGCATAGTTACAACTTTACAAGTGATAGAGCACTGATGCATGATACTGGAGCCATATTGGAAGGCCCAGGGTCCAGATCTGACTATCAATCAACTTAATCTATCCTATTAACACACTGAGTTGACCTGAACATGCTACATGCACCCATGAGAACACCTATGACCCCAGCTGGTGAAAGGCTAGGGGAAAATTACAGTATAGCAAGACCCTGTTGGCACCTTCCTCTGTATGTGTATCTCTTTCTCATAAAAATAAATAAATAAATAAATAAATAAATAAATAAATAAATAAAAGTTTAAAAAAAAAGAACTTTAAAATGGTAATAATATATGTACTGACCCTATGGTGGTTAAGGGAGCCAGATTCCACATGGCCAACCACACAATTTGAATCCCAGTCCTGACAGTTTGCAAACCATGCAAAGCACATGTGCATGCATGCCCAAATCTCTACAGGATGGGAAAATGAAGTAGAAGGACTGTGGCATGCCCCATTGGGGGATATTTTATTCCCTCCCTCTCTCTCTATCTCTGTCTGCTGAGTACATGCACCTTCTGGCAAGTTAATAATAAAAATAATGGGGCTGGCAGGTGGCATGATGGTTTAGGTGCTGGATTCCCACATGGCCAACCATGGTTCAAGTCCCAGATCTGGAGGCTTGCTTTCTCACTTTCCCTCTCTCTCTGGTCAAATTAAAAATAAATAAATAATAATGACAACAAATAAAATTGAATAAATAATTCTTTAAAAAATAACAATAATATAAAAGTACAAATTGCTTAGGAGTAGATATGACAATAAGTGTATAAGACTAATATGTAAATATGTATAAAACATTGTTAAAAAATTAAAGAATACCTAAGTAAATAAAGAGATAGCAATCTGTCATTAAGATGTCAATTCTTGGAACCAGCTGATGGTGTAACAATTATGTCACAGGACTCCTATGTAGTCAACTGCAGTTCCAGTCCCAGACCCGGCAACTTAAAACTCATACCAGGTACATGTGCCCCAAATTCCAAGAGGAGATTGGAGGAGAAGAGATTGTGGCATGGTCATCCCTCCTGGTGGGTGATTTCTCACTTTTTATCTCTCTGGTAAGCATACACGCCCTATAGCAAAAAAACCTCTCTCAATTCTCCCCAAATTGATCTATAGATTCGATAAAATCCCAATCAAAATCTCAGTAGGCTATTATTGTAGAAATTAACAAACTGATTCCAAAGTTTATATGAAAATGCAAAGGAGCTAAAGTATGTAAGATCACATGGATAAAATTAAAGGACTAATAGTACCTGATTTCAAGACTTACCATAGAGCCATATAGTGAAGATGATGTGTAAAAATAGACAAAAAAAATCCAAGAAACAGAATATAATAAAGAAACAAGCCTGGCCACTGTGGTGCAGCACTCACTCAAGCACCCTGCAAGGCTGGAAGCCATATGGCCAACCACTCCAGCACCTGCAAGGCTGGAAGCCATATGGCCAACCACAGGTTTGACTCTCTGGGTTGACCTTTAAACATGCTGGGAACTCTCAGCAGTCCAGGATCCTAAAGAGCTAGAGAAGAGGAGAAAATGTGACAGCTTTATTTGTAATATCCCCAAAATTTTAAATGTCGAAATGTCCATCAACAGATAAATGAATAAATGTATTAAAGTATATCCATATAAGGGAATGCTATTTAGCAATACAAAGAAATAAACTACTGTGTGCACAATAATATGCATAGTTCTCAAAATAATTACTCTGAGTAAAAAAGCCAGCACTGCACCACCCCCAATATAGTATATACTATCTTATTCTCTTTTATGTGGAACTCTAGAAAAAGAAAAACTAATCTGTAGTAATAGAAAACGGATCCATGGTCTCTGGGAACTGGAAAAAGTGGAAGGAAAGAGGACGGTCCTAAGAAATAACCAAAGGTCCAATGGTCACAAGAAAATTCTTATATTTTTTATACTTCGCTGTATCTAGTTATTTTGTTTATATATAAGTGAACCTAGAATTTTTAAATATTCAAAGTTTTCACATATCAGTCAAGATCTTTATTTGTTATAAATGATGTGCACTGAAAAGCCTAGTAACTGTTTAATAGACTTTACAAGCTTTTTTTGAAAGGGAAAATAAAATAGCTGATAGAAATGTCTACCCAAGAAAAGAAAAGAATTAAGGGGAGTAGGATAGCATCTTCATACTTGAAGCTTCTCTGGACCAGATGGTTCTAAAAGAAATTTACAGTAAGAAAGATTTGTGTTCCATAAAAACAGATGTAACCCTGCTAAATCCATCATATATGTGGTCCAGCATTACACTGTGCAGTGATCAAGGGACATAGTTCAGCAACACAAAGTAACAGCAACGTTACAGAAGAGAGCAATTTGTTTTCTTGCCTTGCATTTCTTGAATGCCACCAAGTAAACAGTCTCCAGTGATCCTTCTTAAAATTTCCCTTTTTCCTCCTACACTTTCTCACACTACATAGGTTCTGTGCCCATCCAGTTTTCATTTCCCCTTACCATTCCTGATTTTGTATCACAAAGGTCTAAACAAATGGTCTGGCCATAGGAGATCTGCCTCTGGATTTCAAAGGAGGAAAAAACTGAGTGGAGCCCACTGGAATCTTCTCAACTAACCAAAGAGCAGATGGCAACCTTGCAACATTTATGTAGTGAAAGGAGGAACTTGGGGTGATAAAATCATGGACACAAGAGTTAGAATTTGGGGATCTGTCTCGCTCTTTTACTGCCTATAAATGTAATTGTGATATTGATAAATTTATCTCACCTCTCTGAGCTTCATTTCCTTCCTCTGTAAAATAAATAAGAATAATAACTTCCTAAAATAATTCTTTAAGAGTATTAAATGATTTAATTCATGTGAGGAACATAGAAATACATCTTAGCAGAGACACCTTTCTGTAAGTACCAGTTATTCATGCATATATTAATAATTTTGACTTCTTCTCTCATAGACATTTGGGGGAATGAAAAGTGGAACAGGCAGCTCCAAGAAGAAGCAAGTTTCTTATCTGTAGAAGTGATCAAACTGATACTAGATGAGTACTCCAGAGGGAAAGTACACATCAGATTGACTCATTTGATACTGACTGGACCAGAAGCCTCTGAAGTCTCTTTCTTACAAGAGAGTCTTTATTTCCATGCATCTTTTTCTGTCTTGGTTATTTTTCCTCTGCTTCCCTCATTCATCTACCCCAGATCAGACATCTTGAATTCTCTTGATCCTAGCCATTTTTTTTTTCTTTTTAGCTTGAAGGTACTTCATAAAAAAGCCTTCTTTCAGATGGCAAAACTGACAATTCATAAAAGAGGGAAATAAAAATATGAAAAATGTTAACCTCACAGGAAATCAAATATTTGATAATATAAAGAACGCCCCTGCCTTGTGTATACACAAGTTCTAAAGCACTCAGAATTTTGTACCAAGAAAAAGTAAAATTATTTCAGCCAACTGACACCCACACAAAACACTCCTTTCTGCAAGATGGATGAAACAGAAAAACGAATTTGAACTTAGTATCCTCAAAATAGAGTATAACAGATATTTAACTACAAAATTAATTTCCCCATTTTCCTCTCTCCCTACGTCTTTTGCATACAGGGAAGGGCTAAGCAAACAGTTTTTTTTACCTGATGTTTAAAGGAAAAAATCATTTTCTAATAAAAGTGAAATCAATGACAATTATCAGAGTTTATCCCCACTTCTAATCTTATCACCTTTAGCCCAGGAATGTGTGGTTTTATTTCTTCAGTTAAAGGCCAACACCACCTCCTCTGAGAACCTGCCCTTCTCTTTCTGTACCTACAATCTTTCTCTCCTTTCCCCCTTCAATCTCCAAACAGTCCCACATCGTTCACATTCACTACAAATCCTCCTTTGGGTTTGGATCTATTCCCAGCTAGCAACCAGTTTATCATTTCTGCATTTCTGCCCTATCCTCTCTACCTCTTTCTTCCTCTCCTCTCCTTTCTTCTCTTAATCCTGCTGAGTCTTACTCCTCCATTCATTTCCTAGTGTTGACACCATCCTCTCTCCCATCTGCCCGTGAATAGTAGATGTCCTTCAAAGGCTCACATAATTCTATTGGAAATATCAGTTTACCCCAAAGCTTTGAGAATAGGACTACCAGCCTGGGGTCTACTGTAAATAAGGTGATAGATATTCACTCTTTATGGAATGAATGAATTTCTCGAGGCTAGATAAAATGCAAATGAAAAGGAAATTATGTAGATATATGTTATAATGGTTATATATTCATTTGTCATTGGAACATACCATTTTTTTAGGTCAGTAAAGCCCATGGTTAGTAATTTCTTTGATCGTAAACTCTGTGCATGCAACAATGTATATGCTCCAATGTGGAAATCCTAGTCATATTTTTGGTGCCCTCTAATCAGTTATACAATCATGAATATAAATTGTTCCATAGGCTTGACCTATGCTCTTCATAATTTCTCCCGACCTTTTACTTCTACAGTCTGTGCCCCAGAGATGACATTCACAGACCCACTGCTGTCATGCACATCCCCCAACTGTCATGGACAGATAAATTGTAATGCATACTTTCTTATTCAGTATCATAGGATTTGAGACATAGGGTAATCCAGAGAAATAATTTAAACTTCATTATCCAAGATTACATAGTTTGGCTTTTGTTTTGTTTTATTTTGTTCAGGGACTTTTAAAAGTTTAAAATGTATGCTTTTGTCCATCTTTTTTGTTTTTTTTTTTTAAGAGAGATTTATGCTATAAGGCACATGTACTCATTTGAGAGACAGAGAGAGAAAGTGAAAAATCACCCACCCAAGGGAGATGGCCACACTGCAATCCCTTCTCCTCCATTCTCTTATGGGGATTTTGGGCATGCATACACATTCACCTGGCGTGAGTTTCAAGCCTCCGGGCTTGGGACTCAAGCCATAGACAGTCATGTGAGAGACCAGTGTCTTAACCACTATGCCACCTGTTGGCCACTGTCCACCTTATTTTTTAAGTTACCTTTCCTTGAGGCTTATTATATGGTAGAACTATATTAAGAACTTTGTTCACATTTCCTCATCTACTCTTTACAACAACCTTATCTGATTCATACTATCATTATTAGTTTTACCTTCATTTTATAGTTGAGAAAACTGAGGTATAGAGATTAGGAAAGTTAATCTAAGCTATATAGCTAGTGAGGTTTTTTGAACAAGGACAGGCTATTTCCAAAACCTACATTCTATCCTGTCTCTCATGATAAATCCAGGAACAAATCCTCAAAAAAACCTCTCACTATTCAAGTGTATAGTTTAAAAGAAAACAGGTCCTGGGAATACACTTCCTTATTATTAATAGAGTGTGTAAGTTTTAAAAAATATAGAATGACATGGGAAAAGGAAAAAAAAAAAAACCTAAAGATTGATAAAACAACATCTTATTTGAAAGAAGTTCTTCTCAGCAAGTAGTTCACTCCTGAGCCATTCATCATGGATTTAGATGTTCTTTTGAGGTATTGATCAGCAAAAGAAATGGAATTTACAAATTTTGTTCATCATTGTTTCTCTTGGTGAGCAAGTTGTTCAGTCTGTTTTAAAAACGGTGAAGTAATAGAACTAAAAAATCCTATGCCAATTTGGATGAAGAGGCTAGTACTCAAACATTTGTGCTGACATCATTGTTTACCTAGTAGAGACCCTCCTAATATTCTAGGAAAAATAAGTCCTTGAGGAAGGGTTTCTGTTCTCAGCAAAATATTCCACAAACTTTTATAACTAAGAAGAAAATGCAAGGCCCAAGAGACTTTTCCTTAACAACAGCATCATCCTAAATGTATATGAATTTATCATCTGAAATCATCGATAAAGAGAATGTTTTAAATAGAAATAAATGGAGGGGATTTTTGTTTGTTTGTTTTTCTTCCTATTACATGAACCCATCTCCTTTCTGTCTTTGAGTTAATCACCATCAAATTGCATTAAATCAGAGATGGCAGGGGCTGCTGCTGGCTGGATACCAGTGTTTCTCATTGTTTGGTTATACTGGAAATGTCTTTGGAATGAACTTAATCTGAAAGACTTTTAACCAGTCATTCTCTCAGACTTCTAAATGTAAATGGCAGAATTTGCTTTGTTTTCTTGGGGATGGTGAAAAAGGGTGGTGAGGAGGTGAAGGGGGGAGATTAGAGTATATGCATGTCATACATATTCTTTCTTAAATGAAATATATAAGATACCAAGATTCTCTCCCTCTCTTTCTCTCACACACACACACACACACACACACACACACACTCCCTCCCTCCCTCCCTCCCTTCTCCCTTTGCAACAGTTCCCCTGTTAGGAAGTCTAAGAGAATTGGGAAAAGGGGGGGGATGGTGAGGAGAGAAAGACATCTAGTTTCTGTACTGTGTGCTTTTTTAAAACCATGTTCATGTTGATATTTTCAGGTAAAATAGTAACTTTTTAAAACCCTGAGCAAAATGGAAAGGCAAAAAGACAGACACACACACACACACACACACAAACATGCACAGAGCTGTGTAGTAAGAAGGTTGAATGGAAATGCAGGCAAAATACCCCAAGATGGCAGTTTCGTTTGTATTATTCTTTGGCTAAAAGTTTCTCCTGAGGGTTTAGGTTGTTTTCCCTAGCTAAGGGGTAGGGTGAGGGGTAAGGAGGGCAGATTTGCGTCTGTAGCTGATTGGCAGTTTCTGTGAGAAATTATCCACTCCAATAAGTTTTGTTATTTTGGCAATTTTCTTTCTCAGAATTGATGGTGCCCTTTACTTTCAGGCGGGGGATGGTGTGGGGAATGGGATGTTGTTTCTAGTGACTGCTGGGAGGAGGGGGGCAGCTGCCTGACTGAGAGGCTGAAAAGGCTCCAGGAGAAAGGAATGTTGTTGTTTCTCCGTTTTTGAAGCCACTCTTCTTTTTGATCATGTTTATACTTTAAAATTTCACACTGTGGCCAAACTAGGCAGAGTATAATTTAATGTGTCCCCTCTAAACGCTGGACAACTACATTTGCTCACGTGCACATTAGGCACACACATTTTAAGATGAATACCTTTAAAACACAAAATCGCTTTACTAATAACCAAAAAGCAACAGTCAAATATTTTCAATGGAGCTTATATTCTGCTTTTCCTCTAGAGTTTTCCTGTCTATTTAATGGAGATAACATGTAAATCCAGGTGTTATCTTTCTCACCTTCTCAACTATAATTTAGAATTACACTGAAAAAGAAAGTTGCAAATAAGATAAAGTTCAAATATATTTTTCAAATCAAGCATTCAACTGTGACATAACAAAAGCAAGTTTTAAGTTGATGGAAAAGAAATATTCCAGCAATTACCAAAAGATTCCACAGCTGTAAAGCTAGAGAAACTATGTTTCTTTCTTGGATTCCATCTCACTATCTTTCACAATTACCTCATAACTAATCAAGGCTTTTATGAAAACTTCAGTAGCCAAAAGAGCCCCTTTGATTGCCTTCATTCCATTGATATGCTATTTACAGGCATGTTTATTGCCACTTTCTTTTTTTAATTTTAAAATTTGTTCACTTGAAATTTGCTTTAACAACAATAAAATATGGTCTAAAATATTCACATAGTATTTAGATAGTGCATACATTTTCTTGAGCATTTCTTTACAAATGAGAAAAGGGAAAAGATACAGAAGTGATCTTGGGGCTTTGTTTGAACCTCTTATTACTTGAAGACACACTGATTGGAAGAGCTATTGTAAGAAAATATGTATGTCAGGACCAGCATGTGGCATGGTGGTTAAGGTCGCTGGATTCTCACATGGTCATCTGTCGTTTGGTTCCGGACCTGGAGGCTTGATTTCTCACTTTCCCTTTCTCTCTCTCTGTCTCTCTCTGGCCAAGTTAAAAAAAATAATAACAAGTGGAATTAAACAAATGAATAATTCTTAAAAAATAAAAGAATACATGTGTGTGATTTACAGACCTTCATGGTAAACAGTTATGAATAAATTAGACTGTCCATGCATGCATCCCTCAAGTACAAAGAGACTTTAGAAGGCTTGTGAAACAAAGTACAGGTTTCTTTTGGTGCAAAAAAAAAAAATTTTAATCGATATATAATTTTTTCACCATACCCATTTTCCATGAACTTTTGAAGACTTCTTGTTTTTAACCAAATTTTTATGCTACGTTTTGCTAATACAATCATGTACCAGGCATAAATACTGCTCTTAATGTGCAGTAGGACTTTAAAGAATAACGTTCCTTTCTTCTAGATCCTGGGTCCTTGTATTAGTCAGCAGTTACCACAATGTGCTGTATAACAATAGAGGCGATAAAATCTTGACAGCTTAGTGACTGGCAAAAGCAAATATTTATCTCTTGCTTACCTTTCAATGACTCAAGCAAGGCTGATGTTGGCTAGATTCATTTGGGCTTGTCCCCAAACTCTGGATCCAACTCTGCTATTTCCTTCATGAACCAGTGACTGTCTAACACATCTTATTTTCAAAGCTAAAGAAAGAGAATGAAATGGAAAACTTCACTGTACATTTCAAAAACCTGCTCCTGTCTCACCTGCTAACATTTCATTGGCCAAACAAATCACACGGCCAAGCCCAGCACCAAAGAGACGGGGAATTATACTCCTTCCAGAAGAAATAATAATAGCTATGAAAGAAGAAGGTGAATATTGCCTGAACAAAAATCCAATCTCCCAAAGCTCTCTTCTATTTTTATATCATTCTTTCTCTAGGAAATATAATTAAATCAAGAGATTTCCTTCTTATGTATGCATGAATAATTTACCAATTTATATCTCCAGCTCAGAACTATCTTCTTATTTCCAGACTTTTGTACCAAGGAAGATCTGGGTAATTGCTCATGGATATTTCAAAGACATGTCCAACTTATTATGTCTTAAATAAACCCCTCATAACCTCCCATAGACCAAAAATGCTATTCTGCTAGTATTTGCTATGTCACTGTTGCCATATAATTCATTATGCAAACCAGAAATTTAGGAATCTATTGTATCTCCCCTCCTTCAAACTCTAAATCCAATTCATCTCTAAGACCTATTTTACTTCTAAATGTATCTTTAACCTCTCACATCTTCATCAGCATCCTACTTTGCTCTACCAGGATCTTACACCAACATCACTGTAATATCTATTAAACAGTATATCCACTTTCATATTGGCCGTATTTAATTTGTCCTTCCACCTCTCCTACAAAAGTAGCTTTCTTCTTTCTCTCTGATTCACTTTCTAAGTTTCCAAACCTCTCCTCCCTATATTCCTGGTTGTCAATATCACTATCAGCAAAGGGTCAAATAAAATAATTCCCTTGAAGAGTTTTTTGTCAGCAATAAGTCTCGTCATACTGTGAGGCAGTAAAAGAAAGTAGAGGTAGGGGAAATGAATTAGTGACTAGGCCAAACCCCAGAACAGAGAGAGGTCCAGGTCAGAGCTGGTAACTCTAGAGTAAATCCAAGATAAGACGTTGAAGGTAAAGGAGAGAGGAGGAGGCTATTTCAGACCCACACCCAACCACACTCCTACTCTAGGGGGAATATTCTAAAAATCAAGAACTGAACAAGTCTCCCAAGCAGTTGGGCGAAGGGTCATTTGCAGAGCTAGATTATGCCTAGGAAGATAAAGAATAAAAGGTAAGGTCTGGCATTATGAAAAGAGGCCTCAAAGAATAAAGCAAGATTTAAAAAAAAAAAAAAAAAAAAAAGGCGGCCGGCAGGTGACATGATGGTTAAGGGCACTGGACTGGACTCCCACATGGTGGATAGCAGTTTGAGTCCCGGACCTGGCAGCTTTCTTTCTCACTTTCTCACTTTCTCTCTCTCTGCCCCTCTTTGGCAAGGAAAGAAAGAAAGAAAAGAAAGAAAAGAAAGAAAGAAAGAGAGGAAGGGAGGGAGGGAGGAAGAAAAGAAAGAAAGAAGGAAAGAAAGATAGGTAAATAAAATAATTCATAAAAAAAGAACCTTAAAAAACAAACAAACAATAAAGCTCCAATAAATAAGTTTTAGTAGAGACCAAGCACCCCTCTGAATGCTAGAAAGCTGGAGGAAATAGCAAACTCCTATGTCGGAAGAAAGGGCAGTATCATCTAGCTCTATAGCCCACTGATGCACCGTCTATCTCCATGGGCTTCCTCACTTTGGCAGAGAGGATGGAAACTGTGTTTAGCACCTGGTGGCCAGGTGCAGCTCTGGTGGTCCTGTCCATGTGTCCCTACTGGGGTGCCACTGAAGCAACTATAAACACTCAAGTATTTATCACCCATTGATAAACTGAGGCTTAGGACTGGGTCAGAGGTATTTATATTGAACTGACTAAGAAGGTTGTGTTTACTGGTCATTTTTAAATGAAAAAAAAATACATTTAAATTAATTGAATAAATACTAAGTATGGACTTCTAAACAAAGTAACCAGGAAGAACAATGTAGGATGCATTACAACTACACATGAGCTCATAAGCTCATGTAGAAATAATAAATACTTGCTGATATTTCCAGGAAAACAGCTATCTTATTTTAGCAGCTCTGAATATAGTCTTGTACGAAGCCACTGAGCATTCCCTGACAACCTGAAGTCAAGCAACATTCACTGAAATATCAAACAACATTCTATGAAAATTTTAAAGTAAATGGCAAGAGGATTTAACAATAAAAATTTTTAAGATACATGCCCAATAAATTAATTCCTTGCCTTTGATTTAGTAAATTGTAAAGCCTCTTACTGGCTTTAATACATTATGTTTACTGGAAATATCAGTGGCATTTCAATGACTAAAAAGAGTGACCAAGTAGACCTAGTACTTTTTTTTAAAGAGAGATTTTTGCTATAGGGTACATGCATTTGCTGGAGAGACAGAGAGAATCAGAAACAAAAAGTGAGAAATTACCCCCCAGGGGGGATGGCCACACCACAATCCCTTCTCCATTCTCTTCTTGGGATTTTGAGTACACACGCACACATGCTCCTGGTGTGAGTTTTAAGCCGCCAGGTTCAGGACTCGAACCACAGTAGACTACATGTGAGTCCAGCGACATAATCATTACACCATCTGCTGGTCCTGGATCTAGGATTTAACTGAAAAAGATTAGCAAACTATCGCAATGAATTGTTACTGGATTGTACAAAAATAAATTTTTTTAATTCTAAATTATTACTTGATTTTGTAACCACATATTCTGTTACACATACAGACACAGCCCTTTCGACCTACAGAATAAAAGGAATATTGCCTGGTCCGGTATACCCTCTAATCTTATCATCCCTAGACCTACTGATTTCAGAATGAGCAGTACTTCACCCAATCACCACCATCCCAGGCCTAATGAATAAACTACTCAGTTATAGCATCTCTGATGTTCTGCTGGAACTCAGAGTCCTTGAGAAGAATTGCTAAGACCATCAGATTTGCCTTCTAAATTTCTCTTCAAGAATCTATGAAAGTGCTGTGACAAAGTACCCAGACATAAATAAATGTCAGAAAACCATATGTTGTCATTCTTTTTTTAAAGAATTATTTTAACTATTATACACACACACACACACACACACACACAAAAATTATATATATAATATATAGAAAAGCAAGAAAGCAAGCTGCCAGGTCTGGGACTCAAACCAAAGTCGACCATGCAGGAGTCCAGCATCTTTAACCACCATACTACCTGCTGGCCCCAAGTATTTTGTCACTTTTAATGTTGAGAAAGTTATAGTTTATGTGACTGACAACATATAGAATCATTGTAAAATTATATAATTTTTTGTAACTTTTTCTTGAAGCGATGCATTAAAAAGCCCTGCTATGTAAACTTCTTAAGAACATCTTTCTTTTTCAACAAGTCATGGTCAACTGCAATGAACCAATACAACCAACACAATCTGTTTGAAATATGTTGCACATTGGGTGTAACAATGTAGAGTTTTCCAAATATCTATCAAATGTTATAATACATTCATATTTTTAAAGTTAAGTTCTACCAAATTTAGATCATTCATAGAATAATGGCACAATACATGAGAACTCATTTGCATCCTCATGTATTTCCTTGGAAGAAGAGAAAATACTTCATTATGGCTAGTGGGGGGGCAACTCAACAATCAGCAGCTGCCAAGCATCCTTCTTCCATTCCTTCACCCTCTCCTGGAAAGATCTCTCCTCTGAGAAAGAAGTGTTTAAACACCTTATTTGGGAATCCCCATAATGTTGTGTTATATCTGAACTCCTAGAGTATGAAGGAAACAATGACAGCCATTGTTTCCTTCATACTCCCACTGCCTGTCCATTCTCCTGGTCATTTTATCTTGTAACAATGTATTCATATCTGTCTCATCAATAGGACACTAGTCTTGAGTATATGGCTGTGTCTTTTTAGTGTTTATGTCCAGGGTCCAGCACAGTGCCTGGTACATAATAGGAATTGAATAATATTTGTTAAATTACTGAATGAAATGGCTGAATTGCTAGACAGGCGACAAATGACTTGATGAACATAGAATTAATACGCAGTCTAATATCACCTAAACCACAAATACTGCTTTCTTTTATTGAACTTTAAAAGTTCTGACAATGTTTGGAGAACCAAGGTTATGTTTTGACAAAACTAATTTAGTGTTTTGTGAGGCGTAATTTTGGAGCCCAAATGACTATGTTTGACAGCCTCTCTTTAAGCAGGCCTGCATTTTGTTTAGACCAGGGCATCATGACTGACAAGTTATATTTTTTCTTTGGTTGAAGGTCTGCAGAAATGTATGACTGCATCAGCTATGGATTCTTTCTGGTCTCTGCTGCCTTATAACCTCTGACAGAAAGGCCTTGCTTCCAGGAGTACAATTTCTTAGTGGATTTCCCAGAATCCTTAAAAGGCTTTAAGAAGGCAATTGCATTCTAAAGGACACCTGAATTCTGCTAAAATGGTTTTGAAAACTCTGGCTTTTTAAAACTGTGTTTGTTTTAGGTATGAGAATAAAAGCGAAGTTGCAGAGACCATGTGCTCAGCTGACAGGATGTAGATGGGTTTGTTTGAGGAAGGGGCACCATTCATAAAATATTTTACTAAGCACAATGCAAATGCTCAAGCCATATGACTTCACGAATTTCTCTAAGAATAGAATCATTTGTTCCAATTTAGCGTTTCAGACTTTCTGAGAATAGTATTTCCAAGAACATCCAGAGGAATTTAAAGTGTGAATAATCCCAGATTTCTCCTTCTTTTAAGCAAAAAATTTTAGATAAAAAAGATAAATAAAACATCTAAATTTTACAGTTTAACACAAGCCTACACAGGTTGAGTAGTTCGTGGCAAACTATGACCTGAAACATTAAACAAACAAACAAAAAAACCAACTCCAACTTTAAAGATGATCTAAGTGAATGGGTGGCAGAATTTAGCTTCCCCTTTGGCTCTGGCTTCTTTTTCCTGTGCTATCTTTATAAAGGCTGTAAGTAGCAGCTTAGAAATGCTGGAGAGGTTTTTAATTTTTCGT